TGTATAGATTTCTCCAAAGCTTTTGTTCCTCTCTTCTTTGCCCATATCCTCTCACTCCCTATTTTTCTGCTCCTGGCCATTGGTTTATTTCTCCCTTTTCTGATTCCCTCTGTTAGATCTGCACATATCCTCTTCTCTCCTGCCCCTCCCACTTCTTCTTTCCCAACTCCCTCTCTGACTGGCATTTATTTCAAGGATCTGATTTGGAGGGACTGGTATGGCAGCCGGAACCATGACTGTTCTCAGTGGGTGGGTGGAGCCAGAGCGTTAGGGGGGAGTGAAGCGTATAAAAGCCCGAGCTGGATCATCCCTGTCAGTGGCACGCTCAGAAACGACAGAGTGAACCGATATTCACCTCGAGTATCTTCTGGAAGTTGTATTCTCAAGCTGTTTGTTAGCGTCACCTTCTGTCAAGAAGGATACAAGGAAAAGAGAAAGCTCCTTTAAAACCTTCACCACAGGGAAACCTGGAGAATTGCAAGGCTCTCCTAACATCTCAGAAGACGAACGGCCAGCCCTTGCCATCCAGATACATGGCTTCCCGTCCGATGGAGACGGTGGGATTCGCCGTTCTACCCGCACACGTCTTGGCATCGGCCATGGAGGAGTTTCCCCAGCAGCTACCGGTCCCCAAGTGTCTGGCTCGGGGCCGAAACCGACCCCGGCGGCCCCGAGACGCCCGCTTCAAGACCCAGCCGGTGACTTTTGCAGAGATCGCCGAAGTGGAGGAGGAAGGGGCTTCACCTATGGAGGAAGAACGGGCCAGACGGTCCTTCCTTCAGTCGCTGGAGAGTCTCAGGAGAAGCACACAGACCTTGCACCACGCGGGATCCACACAGAGCTGCCGCACCGCGTCTGCACAGGCTAGTCTGGACTCCAGCGACTCAGACTCGGCGCAATGAGAAGAGAGGAAGGATGACAGGACTGGAATTCAATGCATTTCGCACATATCTTACAGTTAAATTCCTCATTCACATCCGTTAATCTATAGTAGATATGATCTGCATCTTAAACGTGCAGATTCCAGTCGAGCAACACTGGCTCAATAATTGTTTACCTCTGCAAGAGCAAAGTTGTAGCACATTGGAAGATTTCAGAAACCACGTAAACGCTTACGCAAATTCCTTTTTTTATCGTACGAGACTCGAGGACCGGTGAGGTTTCATCTGTAATGGACTTGACAAGAAACATGATTCCGATTTCATTTTAATAGACTGATGTTATTCATATCCCTTGTGCCTGCTTAAGATTGCATCGTCGAATGGGTCCTCCACTGCTGGGCAGGATGTAGACACATTTTGTTATAATTCATTGCTGAACAAACTAAAAGAGGTACAACAGAGATACTGAGATGTATTTTTACAGAAAATAATCCGCATTCAGACAAGGTTTTAAACCCTGATGTCCATGTCTGCCAGAATGGTGAACTTACTAATGAACTCGACGAGGAGCAAATTATTGTACTTTTCAAATGTATCTTATATTTATTCGCAGATTATTTTGTTATAACATAGTGATTTTTAGAGAATTGTTCTGCTGACACTGTGGACTTGTAAAGTCACTATCACTGTATGTAAGAGAAAAAAAGCCTTTATACTTCAATTTTGACTATTGTCTTTGTTAATGTTTCATACTTTCTTTCATAGTTATATAAATAAACTTTATAACATTGAATTCATTGTCTCTTGTTGTGCTGTTTAGACATTTAGAGATCAGCCAATCAATTGTATACAGAAACTTATATGAAAAATATGAAATTATAAAAAATAAATCATACAAGTGCTAAAAAAAAGGGAGAGTGTGATGTTAATGAGCATACTGTGATGAAAAAAGTGGAAAAAAATACAAGACTACAGTGTGACTAAAAAGTATGAATGCTAAAAAAAGTGAGAACATGACTTAAAAGTAAATTATAATGTCACTATGATTAGCAAAATAAGCATTTGTATTTTTATCTCTATCTCATTAGTTTCTTTATTAGTTTCCTACTTAGGATATAAAAAGAAATAGATACAAATAAACATAGATCCAAATGCTAAAGCATAACGTGAGAGTAAAAGGGGTTAAAAGAAAGTGAAACGTGTTGTGAAGTCTGTTTATGACTCTTCATTACATATTATAATGAACTATTATCTCAGATGACAGCATGTGTCCACATTCACATTACACAACCACATTTCATCTGTCTCTATCTGGACTCAATGCCTATCAGCCAATACAGATGGCATGTAAAAATAGCATCTCATGACTTGCCTTCTGATCTAGTTACATTATAGGAAATCTTGCCTCTCCATCCAACTGGGGATTCGGCAGTGTTGTGAAAGACTTGACACAAAACGGTGTGACTGAGTTTATTGATGTTTGAGGGATTACCCTTTGACCCACTGTGTCAGACTCATTCTCTATGCTTTCTGACTTGGCAGGCAATGTTTCAGTTGAATAATAAATGGGAAGTGTATAATTTCACAATAGATGTGCAAAAATAATGACTGTTTTCATACAGGTTTCCCTTTAACACCCCCTTCTGCTATTGGCCAGACAAACATATAACTCCACCTCCAAACTCACATTGTTTAATGATTATCTATAAATGGTTTATTCATGTGTCCTCATAATCTTTAATTAAAATAACTTCCCCTCCCTCTTGCAGCGTCATCTCTTCTCTTCTCTGATGACGCGTTTACTGGTGTGAGGGCGGGATCAACCTGTCACTCACATGAGATTGACCAATAGCAAACCACAACCATCCAGTCAATTCCCAATCGACAAAATCAAGTCTCGGTTCCACATTTTTTCTTGTTTGAGAAGCTGTTTCACTCAGATATACGTCACAATAGGGAAGAAAAGACCATCGCAACATCCATCTGTGCACAGACACTGTGCAAGAAAGAAACTTTAGTGTGCACGTGTGGAGTTCCTGTGTTCGCGCAAGCCATCAAATCAAGTATATTTTAAAAGGCTATACATTTGACTCTACACATACATTAAGCGTTCACATCAAAACTGAAGTAGACTTTGTGGCATGTATACATGAACAGAATAATGAAGAATGTTGCTCTACTACGCAAAACATGCTGTAGCACGATTATGTTAACATGCATAAAGTCGGCATTAAAATGGAAGTTGCTTTTCTTCCCTATTATGACATATATTCGAGTGAAACGGCTTCTCGGACAAGAAAAAATGTGGGGCGGGACTTGATTTTGTCCATCTGGAATTGATTGGATGGTTGTGATTTGCTATTGGTCAATCTCATGTGAGTGACAGGTTGCCCCGCCCTCGATCCAGTAAACACATCATAAAAGAGAACAGAAGAGAAGAGAAGATTTCATGGTGACTTTAATGTTTCTGTGTCGATAAATCATCCTAAGAATGGCTCACATAGTTGTCACTGCATATTAAACTAGATATGGGAACACATTTAAACATAAACAAATCACCTTTAACTGTTTTTTCTTCAGAGGAAATATCCTTGTTCATCTCCCCTTTCTGCAGCGAAGCGCCTCAGTAACCTACTTTGCATAGTGTGGTTGCCATGGTGATAGTGAGGTCTGTGAAATATGATGTTTTGGTACTGTTGTGAAAACAAACTTTATGTTCATTTCCACCAGACCGTCTTGTCTCCTATCATTCTCTCTCTCTCTCTCTCTCTCTCTCTCTCTCTCTCTCTCTCTCTCTCTCTCTCTCTCTCTCTCTCTCTCTCTCTCTCTCTCTCTCTCTTAATCAATCTATTTACATCTAGGCCTTTCATTAGTACCCCATAGATATGCATTGGCTTCATTTTCGGACCCTTTTCAGAACTAACGTCATTTTTGATCTTCATGAACATTAAAATATAAATATGACACTGCAAATCTATCTGAATACAGGAGCCCTGCCGAATGCGTACTGTGCACTGAACAAAAACAGCCTTTAATTGAAAACATCATGTTCCCAGCAGGCATTTGGACTGGCCCCACTGTTCTTGGTTATATAACAGATTGTTCTTATCGCTTATTCCTTGCCGAATGAAGATCTGATGAAAATATTGCTGAGAAGAGAGTGCGTCAAGGAAACCAAACCACCAGTGTTGAAAGACTCCTTCCAAGCCTATTAAATGAACACAATTGAATTGTATTTTCCATTGCATCCTTTGTATCTTCAAATCACAAAATATATGTATCCTATTATAGACTGTTTCTTTCACTGTTGACCTGGCAAGAATAATTAAAGTGAGTGGGCCTGAAACGTGACTGAATCATTAGAGGAAAACAATGACTCATGTTTACAGGCCAATGTTTATGAACTCATTCCGCGCCATTGATAGAATTTTCCGTCATTTGTGAGACAGCGCTTCTCTGCAATTGACAGAATTTTCTGTAATTTATGAGATAACGCTTCCCCGCCAAAGTATAGGTTACTGAGGCATTTATGAGATAATGCTTCCCCGCCATTGACTGAATATTCCTTAATTTATTAAATAACGCTTCCCCACCATTGACGAAATTTTTCGGATTTCCGTGTTTTCACTGTTATACAGTAGGGGGTGCTATTAAGCATCTTCTGAAAAATTACTGAACCTCCTGATCAAAACATAGGCAAGAAAGGAGCAGAAACAATAAAAGTATTGCTTATGCACGTTGTAGTCTTTGGGGGGAAACCCCCACGATTTTCTCAGCTTTTTGTTAAAAATGTTGCTTTCTTTATGAAACTTTCACATTCAAGTGTTGATAAAAAAGAATGCATGAAGCTAGAATAAAACCTCTTTTAAAAAAAAAAAACAGAGGCTCTGATCTTTCTTTTCATATTTTGCATATTCAGATATTCACAACTAAATATTCTGTGAAAATGATCAAAAACGCTGGCAGCAGCTGGCAACTTAAAACAACTTTCTTTCTTTTTTTTAAACGCTGAAGGGAGTTTCCATTAAAAATCCCCAGTAAAATTAAGAGTTAAATGGATTGCTTGTGACAAGTTGGGCTGATGGGCAAAAAAGATTAAATGCTCAGAAAATGAGGTATTATTTTTCCCTTTTTTGGAAACTCTTAGATCCAGCTTCACCTCATGGCACTCGACAGAAGATCAAAAGTCAGATTTGGGGAAAATGGTAAATAAGAGGGTTTTTTACATTCATTTGAATGCATTTCATTGCTTATTCACCTGACTTTTCCTTCTCGTTCTCCTGTTGCCTGTTCAAGGCTGTCTGGGTTCTGTCTGCAAAAGCATTTGTTTGCTGAATCCCTGACCTACATTCTCATTCACCACGAAGCAGAACCCTTTGGGCTTTGGGTCAGAACCAAAAGCACATAACTGGAAGCACCATGTTGCCCTTGTTCTCCCAATGTCTGTCTGTTTCTCTCTTTGACCTGATGGAGACAAGGATACTGAATGAGCAGAGGGTAACCTATTTACAAACTCTCATTTCCTCAAACCATCAATGAGGCGGTTGGCAATTGATGCCACGGAAAGAATTATTAATATATGTGTCAGGGAAAATAAATGGATCGATACTGTCTGTGTGATATATGGTGCTGCACTTCATCTTTACCATATAAACAGCTGTCTAATTCTGCTCTGGATAGATGCACGGAGGTTTTCGATGCGGTCAAGTTTCTGACATTTGTTGAAATGTTGAAAATGTTTATCAGAAATCATCTTGTTTCTGTGATTATGACTGGGAACGTATCTGGGCCTTCTTTTAAATGCTCTGCTGACATTTTCATTTTGTGTTATGACGCAGAGATAATCAATAGAGATTTTTGTATTTGCCAAAGTAAACGCGTCTATTCTCCAATGGCTTGCTATGTAAAATCTGTTCATATTTTATTCTGCCCTTTACCCTGTAAGTTCTATTCTGGGGGAATTCTGTGCACAATGAAAATGATCAAATCTAGAATCCCTGACCTGATTCATCTAAATTCTAATGAACATTTAAGCTAGTTATTAAAGTTTATACTAAGTTGTATTAAAGATAAAAGGGCAGTTTTTGATTTTAATTTAGATGGATTGTAAAGCTGTCACTTTTGGTTTTGTGGATGGAGAAACATTAAAAGAAACAACATTCCTTTGTTAGATGTTTTTTAAACTGTCTGGGCCAAAGAGCCATTAGTCGGCACAACTTGTTCTCTTTTATGTTTTTATCCTCAACAGACCCAATGACTAATGCTGTCCAGGCAACAAACTAAGTGGCATGCTGTCCAGGCAACAAACTAAGTGGCCAAATGTCTTGATCATCCAAAGATAAAAAACATAAGAACTTCAACTCAATCCATAAATGGTTTCTGCAACCTGAGTATACAATCATTTGAGAGGCTGAGTGAGAGACAAAACTCATTTCTGAGAAATATATTGTAAAGGAGACCCCTTTGAATACTGTTCATATAAAAAATATGCCGTCAACTCACCATATTTATCTAAAAGTAACATGGCCACACGCCATGAGTAGGCCACTGACCTTGAGGTCAATGTCTTTTACTAATATTAATATCTTTTACTCTTTTTTTTACTCATCATACTCACTCTTTTTACTCTTATTTTCATGTGACATACAAACTGTAAAAGTGGAAATAAAAGCAGTATTTTGAATAAAACATGAAATTGTGTATTGGTTGAGTCCTAATGTGCACCAATTTCAAAGCACTTTATTACTATAATTTTATACAAACAATAATTGCCAAATATACAAAACTATAGCAAAATTATAATAATAAAAGTATAATACAATACATTATATTGGTAGTAATTGGTAGCTAGTTTTTAAAAATAAATAATAATAAAAAAACAATACATTAATAAGCACATACAAACCACAATATTATATTAGTTTAATTATAACACTAAACTAATTTTTTGTGGTATTCCTGCTCATAAGTTTTTTCTTTGGCACTGTTCAGATGCTCATATTGTTGAATATTACAATAAAACAAAACTCAAATTTTAATCACTTTTTTAAACTTTGACTTCTGTCCAGTAGATGCCAGTAACACATGAAAACGCACTGCATACTACGCACGAGAAGAAGCTATTTTTATAGACCTTACAGTGAACCAATCACGGAGCGAGAAACGATTGACGTCTTTGTATTTTTTACGGATGGAGCTCTCTGGACCTATCACACAAAGAGAAATGAATGACGTTATTAAAGTTCTTTCGCTCCAGCCAATGACAGTCAACGAATTCGGAAGCGCGAAGAGTTTAAGGCAGAGAAGAAAAACGATGGCTAACGGAAACCCATAAGTTTAACAAAACAATACTTTCAAAATGCTGTTTTTATATATTTTCTGTTATTTTTAACCGTTTGTTTTAGATAGACGTAGTTCATTACAAACTGTTTTGGGTTGTTTTTGCTCAACAGCGACATGAATTATGACTCGTGTTGAGAAAAATAACGTACGTGTCGTGTGGGCTCGTGAGATGTTGCTCGTTTAACGTTCAAATGAGTTTATTGACATTTTAAAAGACTGGTTTCGCCTCTGTTTTCTCTATCTAATCGACTTCTAAACGTGTACCATTTGCGATAATATTGTGCATGACTGCCTTTTAAGTGCAGTAATGGCCTCTCAGAATGTTGTTTTTGCCATCGATGTGGATTATCGACAACAGGGGATCAACAGCACGACTAGTGCCTATCAAAACCACCTCAAACACTGGATACTGAGAGTCCTGCTCAGTTTGGGACACAAATATGGAATGGAAAAAGTGCGATGGGGGTATAAATTCTTCTATTCAAGGAATGTGAAAAGTGCAACACTTATAAGCAGAGGATCTGATTTCAAGGAACTCCAGGAGAAGGTGTTCAGTGATTTCGAAGAGGAACTGCTTGTCAAATTCAGCCTAGAAGGAAAGTCACCCAGAAGTCGGGAAAGGTCACATAAACTGAAACCCAGCCCGGCTAGTTGTGTCCAAAATGCCTTGAAAGAGATCCTCCTAGACTTCCAGTGGGATAGACCTGATCTCACATCTCCCACCAAGGTGACACTGAGACCAAGAAGGTCCAGTCGAAATGGCAGAAATATCCCTCTGCAGGACTATGACATGTTAAGCCTTGACAGAAATGTCCTTTTTGTCATATCTGAATGCCCACGGTCCAAAGCAGAGTTGGATGACTACCTGTCCATCCGTAGCGTTGACAGTAGACATCATAGAGACATACATGAGCAGGTTCTGCCCAAAGGTCTCATAGATATGCTTATGCAACGCAAAGTTGTGCTTCATTGGGCTGATTCGGGTATATTGAAGGTAAGTAGTGCTCTTATAGAGTTTAGAAAAAGTGTTTATTTCAGTATTTTGACTACAGTATGTTTTTTTTAACCAGGCTCATAATTTGGTGGAGGACTACACCGGCACAGACACATTGGCAGAGCTTCTCCTTCAGGTTGGTGGACGGGTGGTGCCCATGCTGTCTCCTGGTTTGCCACCGATGGACAAGCATCCCGGTGTAAGCCATTCACTGGCTTTGGGACTAGATGCCTTTCCTATAGATTTCATCAATGGCTACCTTCAGTTTTCTGAAAGAATGCACCAACAAGTGTTTCCTCCTCTGAGTGGTTCGCTTTCCTGGATTGCGGGTAAATATGTCACTGGTGCATTTTTGTTTACTTAATAATTGTATTATTAGTAGTAATTAATTGATAACTACTTTGAATCTTTTTGTGGCAGATGGAAACAGGCGTTCCTTTAACGTGACGCTGGAGCCGGTATCATGCAGGCAGAGGTTTCTGCGTGTTCCTGTGGATGTGATTCTCAGAGGTGTCCTGCAGGACTTCGACACCATCTCCCTCTCACGTCCAGCCTCAGAGAGCTGGATACTTCAGTGCCCAGATGCTGAACTGGGACAGGAGGCGTTTCAGCACTTAAAGGAGCTGTCCACTGGAGGATCTGCCATGGTAAAATGACCTAATCTTTTGTGCTGTTTTATTATAGAGTGTAACAGTCCGATTCCGGAAGTAAAAACTCCATTCATTGTTTTCCAGAAGGAAATTGATTTTGAGTGATAACTTATAAACCTTTAAAGAGATACGATGTTGTTAATCCAAGGTATTTGCTTCTGCTGAAGCTGCCAGCCTGCATTATTTTTTACAATAATCATGTTTAAATGTGGAATTCCTGGTGAATATTACCCATGATGCTGTACAGAAAATTCAGAGAGTAGATACAAGCGAGATGCTCCAAAAGGCATTAAACGCAAAATATGTTGTTTTTATACATATAATCAACATTTGAAGATAGTTTTATATATCTCCATCGTTTTCATTCGATTATGCTGCTCGCAATGCTTCATGGGATTGTAGTTCTTTCCCTCGCTAAAGCCGTTAAGTACACAGTCTTGTACCTTTGTCTTTTTGTCTGATTTTCAAACACTTTTTTGCTTCAAATCAGTGTTTGTAGTGTTGTGATTCACCTCGTAGCTGGTTGGCTTGGTTCATGGCTTATAACTCTTTAACGAAGACTATTTCAAAATCCCTTTGGGAAATTTTTTTTTTTTTTTTTTTTAAATACTTCCGGAACCAGCTCAGCTGAAAAAGGGGATGGGCTATGAAACATGATTGGAGTCACGTGTAGTGCTGTATAATATATGGTAAAATATACATTCCTGTACAACTACAGTTAGACTAATAAATATTTTTGCTTGCAGGATAACTGGTTTATTTTAAAAGTGTAATCTTAGCTAAGTATATAAATAAATCAGTATGGTATAATATACATGCTATTTTAGGACGCATGTTATTTTAAGCACTCAATGTAATAGGGAACCCTTAATGTACCGGTAATGCATGTTGTGGCCTTTTGCTTTATATTTGAATCTGTACGTGTTTAAGTTGTGCAAAGAAATGCAAGAGCAGTTTATGGTCCATGACAGGTGATGTTAGCATAAAATGCACAAATCTTGAGAATAATATTTTTTGACTGTATTTACACAGCTAGCAGAAGTGAGTGAAGGAGGTGTGTTGTGTTCAGCGGTGCTGTCGGTGCTCTCCAGCTGCATGGCTCAGCTCACTGTGCTTCAGCCTCTGGTTATTCAGGAAGACCAGCTCCTGCCCGCAGACCTCGTTTCTTTGGACACTACAGAAATTTCCAGTGACTTACCTGATGTTGTCAGCAGTGTTCTCAATGTCATGTATGACATCATGGAGGATGAGGATTGCTCAGGTGTTTGTTTTATCTGAAGTAATTGGGGTTTTTTTGTGCAGTGGGCATAAGGTTTTGATCCTATTTTTAAAATAATGTTCTTGCGCTTTCCAGATCAAGTGACAATGCCGTTAGTTCCTGACTGGGCCAGTCAAGAGCTCAAGCAAGGGTCTTGTTCAAGGAGAAATGGGGTGGTAGAGGGTTGGTTTCCTCTGTCTGACCAATCAGGAATAAGCTGCAACTTAATGGAATCAATGAGGTTTGGAATCTTTCACTCTTTTAAAACATTTTATTTTATATATAATATTATTTAGTAAGATCTCTAATTTTCTTTTCGAAAAAATGTTAAACATCTTGTGTCATTTTAATCTGTTGTACTTTTCTATTTTATTTTATTCTATTTATACATCTCCTATGTAACACAGCTCTTGCCATTAAAAAACAGCCTCAACTGCTGATATGGCATGAAAGGGGTCCTATTGTAAAAGTTCATTATTTTGGTTATTGGGTGTAATAGAATAGTTTATAATGCTTTAATGTTCAAAAACACGTTATTTTTCACATGCAATAGATTATCACTGTACCTCTATTCCCAGTCTTTCTTAAATGCACTGTTTTCCTGTGTTTTAGGCAGGTTTGGAGTGTTCTCTGTTAGAATAAATCCCTTTTGTGGAAGACTATGCAGATCTTATACATACACAAACAGATGCATTACACACTAAAGGAAAAGGAAAACATTAAAAATCATCACATGCCCCATTTAAAATTTCTACAAAAAAAAGGTGGCACATATTGTTTTCTGTCATGGTCTATTTTTATTCTAGTTCTAAAATATCTGTTTTACATGTGCAGGCTCCTGCATGCGGCTCCTGAGGTAGAGGAGCAGGGAGAGGAGTACTCAGATACTCAACAGGAGATCACCAGCAGTCTCTCAGAGCTCTATCAGAGCAACACAGCTGGATCCAGTGGCAACCTGAGGTCCAAAAAAAGTATGTACCAATTGTGCATGATGAGGGGATTGATACATTGAGTATTTACTAAATATTTGCAGTGTTTTTGATACAGATATCATGAATAAACAACTGACAGATTCACTGTTTTTTTTTTTTTTATTATTGTTATCTATGGCTTAATCTGCTCTTTTTAGGAGGTACACAATGCACACCAGTAAGACAGAAGATGAAGACCATGAGTCGCTCTCTACAGATGCTGAACTTTGCTCGCTTGAATGTGAAAGCGCAAAAGACTCAGGCTGATAGCAGCTCTGCTAAATCTGCCATAGGGGCTGAAAAAGGGGGCAAAAGATGCTCTGGGGATCGGACCAAGCCTAGCCTCATGTGTGAGTAGACGATAAAAAGCGGGTTTTTAAAGCCAGGGCGATAAATGGATATAATATATATATAAATGGATATAATCATCCAAACTTGGGTAAATAAAGTGTTAATGGTGATATTCATGGACTCTCTTACAGACTTCAGCAGTGAGGAAGAGCTGCTCTCCCACCTGGGACTCACTTATCAGAAAGCTGTGGAGAACAGATCTGTGTCTGTTCCCTCTCAGGTCCAGGATTTGCTTTCATTTGTAATGGCATTCATCAAAACTAACACTGACGTGGAGGTGAGTCAGAACAACACTTGCGTCAGAATCACACAGCTCTGTTGTCTGGCTGCAGACAACTTCAAAACATGGTCTCCATATGCTGTGTGCATGTGTATAATGAACTCTGTTGTGCCCTTCTTACTTTATTTAGTTCATTTTGCATTTACTTAAAGTCAGAAATGTTAAACTACCTGTGTTGAAAATGTTTTCAAAATAAATGTTAATATATAAATGCTTCTAAGAGTTGTATGTTGTTGATATGGTGGTTTATTGGTTATGCTAGTTTGGTGAAGACCAAAGTCATGTAATCATTCAGGAAATGTGTAACTGAAATGTTGTTGTTTGTTTGGCAAAGACAGTAATGAACTTCATGAGAAAAAGGGGTGATTTATACAAATTTTCATTTAACCATACATTTAACCATTTCTCAGCAGGTATCATTCTTGGATTTGGTCCAGAATCATCTATTGAAATCCTGTCAGTCTATTCGTCAGCTTTATGGAAATTCTTCAGATGAAGAAAGTAAAATCAGGGAGTAAGTATTCAGACAAAAAACAGCAATATTGAAACATACCTTCATATTGATAATGTCAAGGTAATCGATTTATGACTTCAAAACATTATACTTTATACAGATGCCAGCTGCAAGCAGTTCTTAGACTTGAGTTGTGCAGACAACCAGAACAAGACGGCGAGGAGGAGGTTGTTGAACAAAGAGTAGAGGATGTATGGAGACAATAAACCTTTAAAAACCTCTAATGTCATAACCTATAGTTTAACTATGCATCAAAGTCATTATGGACTTGCATGCAGAAATCTTATGTGGTTTGTAGTGAAATATCTTGATTGATTGATTTTCTTTTCCTTTCATGTTAAATTAAGGTGGCTGATATGTTCCGGATTATCTCCCGGAGTAAAGATGCTGTCTACTTATCCAAGTTTATGCAGGATGAAGTTCTGCCTGTGTAAGTTATCGTATCAGCGATTCAGGAATTTTAATGAAAATGCTAATTGAATGCAATTCATGAGATGTGATCTCTGATATGGTATCTCCCAGGTACCTGAACAGCATCCCTAAGGTCCTGGCAGACGTGTACCACAGTTTAGGAACTCAGTTGCCCGAGGCACTCATTGCCGTCCTGCCTTCTGATTTCTTCAGTGATGAGTCTTTGGCTAAAGACAGTGTGTCTGTGAGTTCCTCACCTTTCTCTGCCACACAGAGCAACATATCCAGTATTGGAGATTATCTGGAGGAACTCCGCAATCGCTCTGCTAAGAAGAGGAGGTGATTGTCATAGAAAACAATGTGTAATTATTTCAAGTGCGTTGTATCTAAGTGGATATATAAGCTGTTTTCTCTCCTTTTTGCAGACAGAACATGATCACACGCCACAAAAGCATGACTGAGGCTCCTCAAGCACTTCGACAGATAGAAATGCCAAGAAAGTCAACGCGCCTGGTGAGTTTTCTTTTCCCCATTTCTTTTATGGTATTATTTTCTAACCTGTTTCTTGTAACGAGAATTTCTTAAGTCAGAAGTAGGGATGCTAACGATTAATCAATTGTCGATTATTCGTTGTTAATAAAGATAGCATGTGTTCATGCAAAATAAAGTTTTATTTTAAGATGAATACAATCTGTTTTGTCATTGAATTAATATATTATAGCACAGAATATAAAAATTGATACCAAAATTTAAATATATTAAGAAATAACCAGGAAGATCATTTATAAATAAATGTCTTTGAGCCATGCAATAGATTAGATAGGTTAGCTGTTTATTTCAAAACAATTCTTTTAAAAAATTTATTAAAAAATTTGTTTTATTTGCAAAAACTTAAGACAATACACCAGGTTTTACATTCACTGTTTAAAAATGGATATGGAATAATGTGTAAAATGCAATACATGATATAAGAATGCACAGTGAATGGGTTTCATAGCGCCGCGTCCTGTTGCAAAAGCATGTGAAAAAAAACTACAAAGTTTGCAAGGCCAAAAAGACCGTTAATCGCGCGATAAAAAAATTTACGCCGTTAAATTGGGTTTGCATTAACGCCGTTAATAACGCATTTAACTGACAGCCCTAATAAAAATCAATAAAATATTTTCGCATCTGCAAAACTACATGACATTTCTCAGTATGGAGGTAGTAACATTGCTGTTTTTGAAGCAGGTCATTTACATACGTTTAAGCCAATCAATCAATCTCTCTCTCTCATAACCGCATTTGTCTGCATATCAATGGCTCAAGCCTCCCTTACTAGCTCTAAAATTTTAAAACGTTTTGTAATTGGCAATGGAGGGAAGTCAGTAATAAATTAGTTTTACTGTACACACAAGAGCGTTTTAAGGACAAAACCCTGAGAAATGTCTTTAAATAAAACAACTGAACTATGTATTGAGGTGTGGTTACCGCAGTATAAGTGGAATAATTGATTCCAGTCCGCTGAATCCACCTCGCGTCATGGCAGCATCACCACCTCGGGTGTTAATTTTCTTCCTAATAAATCAACGTCCAGTCATCAATTCTTTATAAATTCGCTGTGATCATTTTATCAAATGATCTTAAATCACATAGATTAATTTCACAATCCTATACTATCCTATTATTTAGAGTAAAAAATCTTTTCATTCAGGTGAGGAAGCTGGTGTTTTGAGTGGCAATTGCACACCCTGTCATGCCGATGCAGTAGACGCATCTTGCAGTATTAAAGTTAATAAATACTCTTTTAATTGACCATTAATTTAAATTATGAACGATCATGGGAATTTTTGTAAATAGACACCCACTAGTTGGAAGAACCAAAATACTAAAGTACCTATTTGGGGAATTTCAGGCAAAGCCAAAACTCTGTGTCCCAGTAGAAAAACCTGCTGTGGAAGAACCACCACCACCAAAGCAAGCAGTTCAAGGTAATTGGCTCATCCCATTTTAGTCTTCATGCTGTCCTATGGTCGAGCTACTTAAAAAGTTGTTGTGATCTGTTGTTGTAACCTTTTTTGTTCACAGAGGTAACAAAGGTAAGGAGAAATCTCTTCAACCAAGTGACCGTATCGCCATCAAAATCGTCCAAAATGCCAAGAAGCCAGTCCGTGTCAGCAGTAGAAGGACTCAAGAAACGCAAGCGTTCAAATATGGAAGATAATGGTAATGTTTTTGTTTGTTTTTTGATAGTGAGAGATTGTTTCATAAGTCACCACTGTAGTGTGTGAACTTGAATCTTAAAACCTTTGAATTTCAGAACGGCACACTCTTCTGACAAAGAAAGTATCTGAGACACCACAGCATAAGCAGGTGTCCAATCGCTTACTTCACCGGCAAAGGACTGGCAGGTGAGTCCTAAGTAGTGTTGTCACGATACCAAAATTATTGTTTCGATACCGATACCAAGTCAAGAATTGCGATTTCGATACTTTTCTTGAAAAGGGAGAAACGCTCTCAAATATCACCACAGCACACGTTGTGTGATTATCCCGGCAGTTAGGACATCACACAAGATTTGTGTCAACACAGAAAACATTTCATCACTGGATAGATTTTTGTTTTGTTTATTGAAAGTGTGGTTTATGTCATCTGAATATGTGGAACACTTTCAAGAGAAGATAAGGCAACGTTATTTTGTAGCACAATTCACAACCAGCGGTAGTTCAGGGGAAAAAAAACTTAGGTCTTCTGACCTTTAACCATCATGTATTCTCAAAGATATTCAGTCAACTCCATTCATTAATATGCGCGAGGGAGGGAGAAAGAGCAAGACAGTTTTGAAGACGGTGAGAGTGCGCACGTGCGACCGGTGCTTTCACTCTCTCTGCTCGTTCTCTCAGTTAAACAAGCGCAGCAGTCAGTCATCTACATCACTCACCGGTCAAGTAAGGCTTTGGTGGGACAAAAATACGCTTTAGAAAGGCTGACAGAAAACAGCGCGCAAGTTCCAGTCTTGCGCTTGATGTTTAAACTGACAGGACTTGCAAATTGATAAACTCTCACTCTGATGGTTAAACTTTGCAATTAATCCGCGAATCACAAGCGTTACGGGCCGGGGAGCTGCTGGCCCGTAGCCTACTGATCATGAATCACGGATCAACTACGATCCCTATACTTGACATAGCACATCGCAATATCGATGCTAAAACGATACTTCTTTGCTGCGTGCGTGAGGAGAAAAAACACAGACGTCCATAGGGAGGCACTGGAAGCGTGTGTTGCACACACCATGAAATACGTCTCTTACAAATCTGGAACACGGTCATTCTTAGAAGTATCGATACTAAAAAATTTAAGAATCGTGACGTTTTTCATTTCCGAGAATCGCCATACTTTTGAAGTATCGGTGCACCATGCAACACTAGTCCTAAGACTTACAATTATTTTTAAATTGTCACTATATTTGTTCAATTTTACCTGTCATTTGTATGGGAAGCATCCAGTTTAGAATTTAAATATTCTGTGTTTCTATTTCCCTCTTGGTCACAGGAGATCTGGAGAATCTGATGTGTGCATTATTGAGGAGTCTCCTGTCAAACCTGCTGCTGGTTGGTATCTTAAGATTTTGCCACAATGTCAAACAGAGTGACCACTTACTAATAGAAGGTGCTCTAATAAATAATTTGTTCTTAGATTTAAGGAGGAGCCCAAGAATTAAAAGCCTTACCAGGAGACATTCCAGCGTGTTCTATTCAAGCTCACAGCCACGTTCACGAAACCTGGACCGTGCCATTTCCTCTTCTCAACTCTGCCCTTCTGAGGGCAAAGGTGAGCAGGAAATAGTGAAAGTGTTTTAGTGAAACTAAAATTAGACCACACGTCATTAAGCTACTGGACATAAAATGCTTCCTCTGAGAATGCCACAGCATACACCTTAACACCATGTTCAAAAACTACACATTGTCTCAAAGTAGCCTTGTCTCCATTTTGCAGGTGGATTTGATGTTAGTTCTGTTAGGTCACCAGTTCGGCTTCTTTTTGGTGCTACCCAGTCCCCTGGTCACCTACGGCACACTACAGCATCCTCTTCAGAAGATCATGGCAGCAAAGAGTTGTCACTTAGCTCTGCAGTTTTTGAGGTAATATCCCTTTTGTTTTGCAGTTGATTATAATAACATGGAATAAGGAGCAAGTCCTGTCATCTCCTTTGCATTAATAAGATCCTTTTTTTTTTTTCAGAGTCATAACAAAACACCACAGAAGTTAAGATCTGATCCACTAGGATCTCCAGCTGGGTGTAGAACCCCTCGGTCCCCAAGAACTCCAAGCCAGACAGTTGGGGAGAATGGGATGATTCTGCGAGGGACCCCCTTTCGCTCACCTGTTGCGAAGAATTTGGGGATAGAGACACCTAAGAAAAGCCCACTGAAGGGGATACTCAAGACTCCAATGAAAAGCCTCTTGAATTGTGTTTCTCCAAACGGCGCTTGGCTTACGAGCCCAAGTGGAAGAACGCCAAAAAAGAATGTGACATGGTCTCCATCTCCACGTAAACACCTGACGGAAAACCCAAATAATGTGCCGGAGTCTCCGATGTTTACAAAAAGATACTCACCAAGGCTGATTACACCTGGCAAGAATAGCAGCCCAGAGGAAAGAACAGTTTTCAAAACACCTGACAAGGTGCCCCAAAGGAAATCTAAGGCATCTCCTGGAATGATGCCTAGGACACTTGAAATTCCTGGAAATCTTGATCTTGAAACATCTCAGTCCATCACGAGATTAGGAAAGATGAGAAGAACACGGAGCTTACCTTGCAAGATTACTGAAGAGTCTTATCAGTTTGCCTCTGTTGACTCACAACAGTCTGATTCCGGACCATTTCCTTTTTGCGTTTCACCATTAAAACCAAATTTACAAACGCCCATAAAAAGCCCCAGCCCAGCACACAGGATATGCACTCGCTCCGGTAGGACACCTATTAAAGTGTCCTTGTCGCCTTTTAACAAGTCTCGACCCATTGCAGGTACTTGCCCTTCACCCTTTCAAGATCTGTCTTTGGCTGTAGCAAAATCAAGTGCATCACCGGCCCTGGGTGCTTCTAGATCAGATATCAGCCATCAAAGAAGTTCATCCATCAATAATGTAGTAAAATATCCACAGGAGGATAAAATAATTGCGCAAATTGAAACCAACCATGGAAAAACGGAAGAGGCATCATCTTCTGACTCCCAGCAGTTTGATTGCTCTGAACTCAGCGTTACCACAGATGATGAAAGCATTGATATATCGGAGGCCTCAGTGGTGAAGACCCAGCTCATAGGGGGAATTAAGATGAACATCGCTTTCTCAAGGAAACACTCTAGACCCTCAGAGGTTTTTGAATTTGAAGGCAAACACGCCACCCCGTCCGCAACAACAGCGAGTCGAAGCTATGGCTTCCGTCAAACTCCAGACCGGCGCCAACGAGAAGCGGAAGCACGTCTTGGATATCCCTCGGGAACACCAAAGATTTCCACCCCAAGAACAAGGCGAACTCCTGCATGTGGAAAGAAGTCCACTCCACAACCACTTACTTATGAAGTGGAAATGGAAATGCAGGCGTCAGGTCTGCCTAAACTCAAGTTAAGACGGACCGATTCTTTCAATGCAGGTGATGCACCTAGTAATGCAACAAAAGGCATGGCCTCACATTTTGTGCACCGTAACATGTCAAATGTGAAGGCGCCACAAGTTGACGGCCCTCTTGCGCAGTGTTCTAGACATCCTGGCTGCTTATCTCCATCACTCTCCAGTCGAGTAACCCCTGCCAAAGGTACACCTGGGAATGGTGTACAGACATACATATGTCAGTCGATCACTCCCACACGGTATCCGGCAAGTAGCCAATCCCCTTTGGCGTCCCCACTGACTCCATCTCCTCAAAGCAGAGGATGGTCAACCCCAGAGAACCTCAATAGTTGGCCTCGCAAGAAAAGGGCTCGAATCGAGACTTGCGGGAGCAAAGAGCAGGTCACCAAAGGGGTTCCTCTCCTGGAAAAGCCTGGGGTATTGGAGGACCCAGAACTTGATGGGGTTTTCCATATTCAAGGGGTGGAAGAACTCAAGGAGTCGTTGAGCACCCCAGTCAGTCAAAGAAAACTGGGTTTGAGATCAAGCCAAGTGAGGGACCATCAGTGCTCACCAGAAGGCATGGACTGGACCGAGACTGTGGTTCAAGAGTGTGATGCTGGAGATCCTACGAAGTCTGAACAGTTTGCATGGAAGAGCATAAAAGGTACAGTAAAACTTGGGTGCAATTTATAGCATGTTCCTTGTGTTTCCGTAACTTGTCTGTAAACGGTGTCATTTGAATGTCTTGCAGTGGACACCCCTAAAGTAAAGAAACCTGTGTCTGCCAGCGGAATCTTCGCTCTCACTCAGTCACCTCTGTTATACAAAAAATCAGCTGTAATCAATGAATCATCACAATTTAATGGTAAGACAATGAAGGTATATTTAGAGCTATGACCCTGAGTCAGAGTAGACGCCTTACTTAATCTGACGAATGAGAATTAAGCTGTGATCAGAGAATTTCTTTGTCAACTGGAACTTTGTTTCTGCTTAATTTTTATTTGTTGAATTGGGCATGGTCTTTTACCCTCTTTCTTGTTGGAGCTCTGGCCGAGAGCTTTGAGCATTGAGCACATTGAGCTTTAGTGTTCGTTCAAGTGGCAAAAGTTCAAATCTGGATCAAGATTTTTCTTAATCTCAACCCTCTTTCAACCATTGCTTCGTGTTGTGATTTTTATTATCTTCTGAATGAAATTAGCAAAAATAGCCAAAAATAAACAAGTCCTTTCACAATTGAGGGAAATATTAGATCTGGTTTGACTTATTTTAAGCATTTATGTTAATAATAGCATAATAATTTATACTTTCTCCCAACAGCATCAAAGGCTGAGCTGGATATCTCTCCCCTTTGCCAGCCGAAAAGGCGAAGGACACTTAGTAAGACTTACAGCCGAAAGAAACTTCTAGACTAAGTCTGTCATACTTTTGGTTGCCTTATCTCGCACTCAGTTTCTTTTAGAAAATCAAACACTTTTTTTTTTAAACAAGTTTTATTGTCTGTTTTAGCTGACCTTTTGTCTCATTTATAATAATGCATTACCCAATATTGTATATTTTGTATTCTTTTTGTATTATACAGATGTTACATATGGCATCAGATAGGTACAGTATAACTCATAGAAGTTTAAACTAGTCTGATCTGAACATTTATTGTGAAAATAAGGTGGAAACATTTATTTTACATGTTTCAGTGTAATTAAATTAAGCTTTAATTGCTTTTGTTTGTTCAATTTGTTTGTGCTTTATTTATTTGTGCTCATTGTACTGTGTATTTTTCATGTAGCATGTTTTTAACAGTTTGGCAGCTCGTTTGCAACATCTTGCCATAATGTGAAATAAATGTAAATGTTAAACAGATTATTTTAATAAAGACACTGTTGTTCTTAAACCTATGCATGCAGATGTTTTTTCTAAAAACCTAGTGAAATATCTGGACATCTAATAAAGTTTTAATGACGTAGTGAAGGCCAAGGATGACAACCCATCCATGTTAGTGCACACCCATTAGGAGCAGTGAGTAGTGAACATTCACACACACTCAGTATATATAAATACCTTGCAGTTGGTCCTTGGGTAAGTTAAAAACTACTGCAAAATTATGAATTAGTTGATGCCTGCTCCAATAAGGCTGGAATACTCACAATTTTTTTCACCCTGCTATTTTGGCCAGTCACAGTTAAGATTTAACAGAAAATCACGTAGTGTATGATGGGCACAGACTTATTTTTTTTTTTCAGACTATATGCTTTCATCCAATTGGAGGATATCGGACTTGTTCGATTTTAGCACACATTTTCATTTGCCTCGCTTCTCCTAGCAGTGTCTCTGCGTGACCTTGTGTTTGGAACGTTTAGAAAGTAGTGTACAATCTTGTTAGAAAAGGATATAGAATATTATATATATATATAGAAATATAGAACACTAGGGTTCTTGCCAAAAAGGTTGTATGTAAGGAGAAAAGTCTTGAATGTTTGCATAAGTGTTTAATGGGCCATTTCAATTTTTCTAGTGATAAAGTATGTTTACGAGAGGTTTAATTCATAAAATGTAATTAAAATAAAACGATCCCATAGTGGAACCCCACTAAAACGTTCTATACGTCTGACTGAAAAACTCTTTAACATTCTATATAGAATCGTTCCTTCTAAGAGTTTAATGTATGATGTCGATTTTCGCTGTAACCTATTAAGTCGGCAAACACTTCTAATTTAAAAATATATATTTATAATATATTTCTCGTGTGTCAGTGTCACTGACTGAGTCTACTGCGCCATCTAGTGTATTACTAATGTTTGTTGATTTTTATGTTCCGTTTCAATTGAATGCAATACATGAAAATCTGCTAAATTAATCTTAACAGAAATACACCTCGACATTTTGACAGTTAAACACATCAGATACAATCTGACTTTCAGAGAAGTCAAACCGATAAAGGCACCCAAAAGGTCAACTTTAAGTGATTTACAAGCGAGTGTCATTTGAATAAGATCATCCTGAAGATGTTCTACCAGTCTTTTCTTTAGATGCTTTTCTATAGCTTTTACAATTTTTAAAATTCAGGAACAAGTACATCAATTAGATAAGCTGTCACAAATGCTCTCAAAAGAGAAGTAAACAAAGGATTAAAAGAAACTTGTCAATTTTGCTCAAAACAAACTGTTTGGTGTCAGGTGTTTGGTAAATAATAGTGCTACAAGAATCATGATTCTCTAATAAATATGTCTCCAAGTTCAATGTGGCTGCCACATACAATCAATCAATCTAATAAATTATATATATGCATTTTAAAACGTTTAAAAAGAAACCAGCGCCAAACTAAAAAATAGGTTTAGTGGGCCTTTTATTTCACGATCCTTCCAAACATAAAAAAAAAAAAAAAAAAAAAGGTACAAAAAAGAAAACATTTCACCAAATCCCCCTCCCCTTTTCCATGAGAAAGTAATATGTAGAATTGGTCTCAAAAGTGCATCTCTCCAAGGTACAGTGTAGGGAAAACAATCTCAAATTGACAGATCTGTACCTCTTCCACTTATCTAAAAATCACACACAGTCTGGCCGTCCCGTCACAAGCTTCCACAGTGTTCCCAGAGCAGCAGGCCCAAGAGAGGGCCGACAATGTGAGGTGGGTCAGAGCACTCGCTTCTCTAAAGATTGGAATATAATTTATGTCTCCTGCAAGAATTCCCTCCTTGTTTGTTGGGCTGTGATTGTTTATAACTCGGACTTCTTCTTCTTTGGCTTCTCTTCATCTTGAACCACCACGGTGTTTGTAGCCTCTCTCTTCAGGTAGGAAATGAAGTCGCTGACTTCACGACCTCCCTGAAAGTCAAACAAGATCGATTCGATTAATTTCTTGATGGAAGTATGCAAGTTTGTATTAACCAAAGTCAAATAAACAAACCTCATATTTCTTTGGATTCTGCTTCTGACCAGCTGGGGAGAAATAGATGGTGGGGAACCTGAAAGTGAACACAGTGGGCAATTCATTAGCAACATCAAACGAGACCGAAAACTTTTGCAGCACAGAAAATGCATTGTGGCGGAAAAGAAAGATTGATAGATGACATACCCTCTAACTTCATATTGAGAGGGGACATCATTAGCGGTGGCATCCATCTTTGCAATGACAATGTTTGGACTGTCGGAAAGCTGTGAAACAGATCATATTTATGAAACAGTGATCTTCAGGTCAGGATTTCAAAGTGACCAATATAAAAGGTCTAAAAACTCACCTTCTCTCCGAGTTCTTTGTATTTAGGCTCCAGGCTCTTGCAGTGTCCACACCAGGGGGCGTAAAACTCGATGAGAACGTCTTTGCTGTCATCATTTACAATTGAGTCAAAGTTCTCAGCCACAAGAACCTGGAATGATATGGATGTAGTTGCAGGTTATGTAAACGAGTTCAATTAAACATAAAAATATGAATAAAACAATATTAAATCAATGTTGAAACTCAATCCTCTGACGCACCTTCACAGGGCCATCGTTGTTCTCAGGAACAGGTTCAGATTTGAGGTAACGCTTCAGTTTTCCATCAAAATAATCTTGCAGGAACTTCTCCAAGGCCTTTCCATCACGACTGCAGACACAAAAGAAATTGATTTATTTTGTCCTATTTAAAACAAGATTCTTTGTGCAAAAAAAACAACAAAAAAAACGTACGAGAACTCGTCGTTCATGACGTATTTGTCTCCCTTGGCAGTGCGGATGCCGACGAGAGGCAACTCTCCACTGCTGCCGTCCAGACCCAACTCAGACACGTCATGACTGAAGCTGTTCTTACTGGCCACAGCGAAGCTGAGCGTCTTGCCCTGATCCAGGAAGCTCTTGGCCACCTTCATCACCCTGCAGAGACGAGGATTATCAGACCATGACCACGGTCAACACTCAACACTTGCACTTCATTCAAATCAAAAGTTATATTTGAGAAGAACACATCAGTATACAGACAAAGAGGAATTAGAAGCAGAACACACAGCTGGAAAAATGTACATTCACTAAAGAAATTTCTCTTTTTTTTTTCTTTTTTTTTTTATATTTGAGACTTTTCCAGGTACAGGAGAAAAATATATATAGAGTAATCGTGTGTGTAATCGTGTAAAATGTGTGTATATACATTTATTTTATTTAATATTATATATGTTTGTGTTTAATTTTTGTTTTGATTAACTTAATTTTGAAAATGTAGTAATTTTTTTGCATGTTTTTTGACATTTTTATTAGTTTTTGTTATTTAAATGTCTAAATGTTGTATTAGTTATTTCAGCTTTAGTTACTTCAGAACATCTAATAAAAACTGAAATATAATAAGTTTGAATATCTTACTTTATTTACATTAACATTAATTTTATTTCAAGTAACAAATGTTTTACGATTTTTGTTTTACCCACACACTCGTATACAAACACGAACTTAACTTTTACTTATTTTAACCAATGGAATTGATTGGGTAAAAAAAAAATTACTAAAACATATTTCCAGATTTTGTCCATTGTAATTTGGGGGGGGGGGGGGGGGGGGGGGGGGGGGGGGGGGGGGGGGATTGCTTGAAACAAAACATCACTTCTATATAAAAAAACATTTCAATGGGCCTGAGAAAGCATCGTCAAAATGGAGTTCAAGTTCTACCTGTTCCTCCAGTAGTTGGAACCCTTGGGGTTCTTCTCATAGTCCACATCATAGTAGGCCACCAACAAGTCTTTGCCTTTCAGCTGGTCTTTGTTGTCATCAGTCATGTGGGGACAGATGCCAAAACTGCCATTTGATGAGAAAAGGACAGATATCAAATATTTGACCATCAAATACATCCGAAAAGAATGCAGATTTGAGCAACTCTGTGCCCTATTTTACTCATTTCCATACTGTGATAATCAAGCTGAAACATACATGTTGTCCTGAATGAACTTCTTGATCTTTGCACTTGTGAATTTCTCCTCAGTGAACTTAACACTGCCATCTTCAAATTTGTTGCTGAGATGAGGAGGCCGGAACAAAACAATACCCCTGCAATATGCATATTTAACGTTTTTTTTTTTTAATTAGAAGTGGGAAACAAGATGACTTTCTCTGCAAAACTGAAACCAAAATGCCACATACTCTCCATCATCGTCATGTTTCTTCAATAAGTCCTCATCGTTAGTGTGGGCGAAACGGTAGGACTCTCTGAAAGCACTGGCCGCCTTCAGAAACTCTCCCTGAGCAACACTTCCTCCATCAGCGAAGAAGCCTGGAGACACGGAGAACCATTAGACGAAAGAGTATTGATGCATACAGTAATACAGAATAATCAGGGCTAATATGAGGCACTAAACGTTACTATATAACACCAGCACTTACCCACAACACTGGCATCACGGTCCCCGATGAACTTCTCAAACTCAGCCTGACTCTTGAGCTCCACCGAGCTTGGGCCTGCCTGCTTCTTCAGGTGGCTAACAATTCCATCTGTTGGAGTAATGAAGAAACAAAAGATATTATTAATAATCTGATAAAGGAACTACTTACAGCATCACTTAAAAGATATGAACATATACCTGCTGTCCTTGGACCATCGTAGCCACCAGAATCCTCTCCATCTCTGAAAATCTTCAGTGTTGGGTAGCCGCTCACGCCATATTTGCTGCACACGTTGGAATTGACTGTACAGTCCACCTAGATCATATCGGAGATGAACATTAATAACAATCCTCCATCAGACCAAAGACAACCATTGTGAAATGAATGTTTTCGGACACTTAAATGCATGTTATTTGCAATTAAATAAAAATGTATTACAGTTTAGATTTATGTTAAACTAACTTTAGTGTTCTTTTTTCAACTGACTTAGATAGAAATTAAGTACATCTTTATATGCAACTTCATAATTTATATTATCTTTGAAATATGATT